GGTCAAACTGAATTATTCTGTTTCAGTGCAGACAGGAGAGATACTCAATGAAGAGATGACTGTCTGTTCTCTGGACGTTTTTTGGGCCAAGAGGCAGAACAGACAGTCAGGTAGAACAATGGATGGACTGCGGATGTGTCACTCACCTGTCACCTTGGGCCATTCTGTGCTTTAACATGCTCATTTCCATACCGCCTCCAGCAGTAGATAAGAGATACATATAGCTCCTGTTGGGTGCAATTTGTAACCCCGTCGAGCGAGCATGGCTATAGCGAGAGAAGGAACCCGAGAGATTTGTACTCGAGCACCACAGTGAAACCGCACCGACACATCCCTCCATTCAAGTGATTGTTTGTGTTACTGCTTTAATGTGCAGCAGCAGGTGCCTTTTCCTCCATTTCGCCAGTTCAATTTGTTTCCTGCCGTGAAAATCTCGGGGCTTTTCCTTTTAGTTTACGGGTTGTATAGACCTTAGCGCGAACCACACAGGGAGGGAGCACAGAGAACCTGATGTGATTGTGAAATTACCCGGTCTCAGACTGTAATGGTAAACACTTCACCCTGTTGGCATTTGGTGATGACAGGCAGGTGGCTACACCACAAAGATATCGTCTTCTACATACAGCTAAATATGTTGTCATCAAGAGAAATTAGCTATTTTACCAAACAACAGTCAGTCATGGGCTTTCTTGAAATTAGCCAAAAAATCAGGCCACTACGAAACATAATTGACCTTAAAAACTAAAACATTTGAAGAAAAGGGGTGCTAGACCTAAACAAGATTATTTGTCATCTTAATATAGGAGTTAATAAGATATAATCTGCCTCTTTACACCAAAAGTTTCACCAGGCGGCATTTGGCAATGTTTTACACATCATGGTAAATGTATTCTAAAGCATGAAGAATTGATAATTTGGTGTACAGATAGTTTCACAAAGTAAATATACAGCATAAGGTCTGAGTGACTTTGATATGCAGACAATCCATCGCCACAACTCCACAGACTGTGCACAATTTAAGTCCTGAAATTAGAACTTGTTATGACTTCTTACACTAAAATTACCATTCAGCAAAATGTCCCTCACAAGTTTAGATTGTAATTAGACAGCCTATACTCGTATATCTTCTTCTTATTGGGGGATTCCTATAAATAAAGGCCACATATACACACTCTGTTTTGGTGTCACGTCAAGACTATACTTACAGGAGATAATGATATGGTGCAGGGAGCAGTGTTCAGCTGTGCTACCTCAGGGCTTGACTTGAACTTTCGGGATCGCGGCTATGAAAACCAGGCGGAGGAGAAGAATCGGTCTCTAGTGAGGCACGCTGATCCACACAGGCCTTGGTATGTCCTTCAGATCTTAACGTCTTGAGTGGGTCTCTTTGAGCTGATAATGGCGATGGTAAATCAAAGCAACATGTGCCACATAAGGGTGATTTACATCACCTCCTGTAGCATGTGGATGTTTCTCTTAATGTTTCCTCTCAGTGGGCATCGCGGCACCAGAGGCCACATTTTGCCCACCGACTCATATGGAACTGATGAAATAGTCGTGACTTTATCTTCTAAGTTGAACTGGATCTTTGAAGCTGCAAAACTACACTCTTATGTAACAGTCAGAATCTGGGGAATTGTGAAGACAAAATGATACGGTCCTTTGATGAGTTTAAGTACCAGGATGGACCTATATTTAATGTGTTTTTATTAAGTATGGAAGTATTATCATTTTGGTCAAGGAGATTTTGTTTCCAAATCTGTCCTGACTGAGTGCTTCCTGCTGTCGTTGTGTTCAGGTGGTCAGCCGGGTAGCAGCACAGCAGGGCTACGACTTGGACCTGGGCTACCGGCTCCTGGCCGTGTGCGCTGCCAACAGGGACAAGTTCACTCCAAAATCAGCAGGTAAGACGAGAGTTTTCTCAACCGCCGTCTCAGGCCATCTGGCCATGCTGGCCTGTTTGAGCTCAAAGTTCCTGCCTGAGTTCTTGGCAGCATTTCATGATACCCACCCATCACTACTAGACTATTTAGGAGCCTGATACTCCAGAAAAGCACTGCACTCCTAACTGTGTTGGACAGCATTTCAAGTAGACGGAATGGTCTCTGTTATGTTTAATTCATGTCTTCTTAACGTTTTAAGTTGCTTATCGAAAATCCTGGAAAGATTTAAAGAGACAAATGATGATCTTAGATTATTTTAAGGCTCTCTGCACGGCACGTAGCCCAGACGTCTTTTTCTTTTGTTTTCAACTAAAATAGTGAGGCAGAATACCTTTTCCTTTGCCCTCTAATATCTGCATAAACTTCCCCTTCTTCATGTCGCATCTCACTTCCAAACTTGTTCACAACATAGAGAGCTCCAGCCAAATTAGATTTCTTCTCTGGAGTTTTAAGACAAAGTGCCTACAGCAGAATACTGAATTTGTCACGCGCAACAAAAAAATACTTTATCGGTGACGATGAGTTCCTGTTTGCACACAGCACCGTCATCTTAGTACAGTGATGGATTATTGGGACAGATGTATACTGCTAAATGTTGTTATCAAGCTGGCAAAAAAAAAAAAGCTTGCTGAAGCACGACGGGAATGAAGATGTATCGGCTGTCAGCAGCTTGGAAGATAACAGGAATATTTTGTGCTCCTTTACAGTTTTTTGATTTGTGGTTTCCACCTGTCTTGGGTTAAGAGGAAAGCGGGGTTGAGCGGTTGCTTCTGTGCGCTCGGCCTCTTTGCTGAGCCGTCTTAAGTCGACTAGGACATGAAAGTCAAGAGCCGCATATTGTTTGGATTTTCACTTGTGTTTTGCCTTTTCTGATTTACGGCGTCCGTGGTTTCATACGTGGTAACATGAAGGCTTCACATCACGCACTGTCACTCTTCTGCAGGCCACGAGAGGAGAATCGTTCTCTGCCTGCAATTAACTTATACCGCCAAATGTTCTAATTCTACTTAATGCTAAATCAAATCTCAGGCCCTAATTTATGGGCTTACATAAGATTGCCAATTGATTCTCTGTCTGGATAATTTTCTGCAATAGTAGTCATTTGGAAACCGGCAAGTACTCCAGTCTAGGCAGCATCCCAAAGTGCATTTCATGGACAATTATGAACCTGTATGCATGGGTATTTTGAGAGGCCTGTAGAGAGAGAGAGAGAGGGAGAGAGAGAGGGAGAGAGAGAGAGAGTCAGTGGTAACCACTGAGGAGACATTCTCCTGCAAAGCTCCCAGAAGCTCTTTAGAGTGGAGGCCCCAGTCGAGGAGGTTGTAAAGCCGGAGAGAAAGACCTCTCTGGCAGTCCAGGGAGACGGCTCTTAAACAACACTCCCCACAGGGCCCCAGGGGCAGGACCCACTCCCCAACATCCTGCGGGGCTGTTGACAAATGATGGGGGGGTGGTGGTGGTGGTGGGGGGGTTAGTCACATGATGGGGCCAGGATGGCGGCAGCAGGTCAGCCATCCAACACGGGAGACAGACGAGTTGTAGTTTTCATTGAGGGAACAAATCTTAGAAGCTATTAGACAGGACATAAGACGAGGTGAATCTGATGTGTAATTGAATACAGTGTGCATGATGTTCATTTAGCGATGATTCATTTAGCCAAATCTGACTGTTTTCCTGGATGTGATCCAAGTTTGCTTTTGTTTTCAAATTCGTAGCTCAGTCATAAATATGACAGTCTACCATTTGTTGCATGACAAGCTTTTGTATTGTTCTGTATTCAGACAGCTTGAAACTGTTCCACCTTATGTTTATCTCACAACAAAGGGGCGTTTGTAGCCCAAAGCCCGGGAGTTTTCTCAAAAGGAAAAAGCAGAAAAGGTGTCCAGGGTGCATTTGAAGCCAATCCTGACTCTCATAACCGCTGGCTGGCTCAGTCACATCGTGCGTCTTGTAATCTGCTCTGAAAATCTGTGTTTGTAACATCAGGTCAATGCCTGAGCGCTAATAAGTAAATCAGATTTCGTGTCCCATTTTAACCAGGCCTAACTTGTCTTGGCTCTGACACGCGCCATGGTCTTTCTATTACATTTCTGTTATGTCATCCAAATTCCTCTCCCGAACATGGGAGAAAATTGAAGGGGGAAATTGCGCCGAAGGGAAGGAAAGAGCAGTTTTCAGCAGTAGGAAATCAATGTTCACAGTCAACTTACAGCTGAAACAGGTCGTAACTTTGACAAATATATTCATCATGTAATGCCTGCAACAGCTGAACACATTCGTTTTTTAAATTTCTTTGCAAGAAAAAAGCTTAGAAAAGCAAAAGTAGACCTTGATCCTAATGACACCAGCAAAATGTATCTCCTCGCCTGAAGGAAACTTCATTATCTCCTCCTATTGATTTTATCAGTTAGCATAATGTACCTGATTTATAGCAAAGTGAGCAGTTTAGATGTTAACTCCACACACAGTGATTTAGTGAATCATACTCTTTAATAGATGCACCCCGGGGGATCGGCCAGTTGTAGTCCTTTTTGCAGGCGACCCACAATGCTCGGGCAGGGCTGGGGGAGGGGCAGCTGTCTACTAGAAGTGACCTCTTTGTGACTGAGATTAGCCTGCTCTATTAATCTGTGATTACTTGGACTGTCTTACCGCAGGGCAAAGCCATGCACGTGGAGCCGACGTCAAAGCAGGGGGATCACTTGCTCGGTGTGGATAAACTCATCAGGGCCTCCCCTCTCTCTCTCTCTCTCTCTCTCTCTTTCTCTCTCTCTCTCTCTGTCTCTGTTTCTCTCTCTCTCCATCACAGGGTACATTACAAGCCCTCTTAGCCCTCTTTCATCAGTGTCACACCCTTTCTGCAGGATGGTTCAGTGTGGTTCGGGAGCATCTACAAAACGCTTAATCACGATTCCCCCCCCC